ACGGAAATGCATGAGTTGTTTGTCCCCCCCCCGCCAACCGCCGCCGGAACCTTCGGGTTTCGAGCGTGCACTCAAAGTCTGAACTCGGGCTTTGGGCCCGCTCTCGGAGTGGGGGGCGAAGGAGACTGCTTCGTGGCGCCGCGTCGTCGCGCGCGGCATGTCGCGGTCTCGCTCCATGTGTCCGCAGCCAGCAGCGCCCCGCGGCAGGGCGCCGAAGCGGCAGGCGGCGTCGCAGGGTGGCCGGGGAGCTCGTGGCAGCAGTCAGAGCGCGCGCGGCGGCATGGACGCGGATCAACTGGCACGCATGAGTTGTCGTGGAATGGAAGCGCTGGCCACGCGATTGCGAAGCGAGGGTGGCGCTGCCGCACCCTCGTCGGGTCGCCAGGAAGGCAGGAAGCGGGCGCGGATGGACCCAGAGACGAGACGCGCAGGGCACGCTCGCGGCGCACCTTGGCATCGACGTCGGCGGCGTTGGCCATTCTGGCACTGCGGCGCTATCGCGGGCTCGCGCGGGAGATGCGCTGGGCGCCCTGGAGAGCGCGGGGGCCTTCAGAGCAGAGGGGGCCCGCGCTGGGGAAGTGGATAAACAATGTGTGCGCGGGCCGTGTCGAATTGCAGCCCCGGCGGCGCGCGCGGTTCGACGCGCTCGTGGAGCGCCGGGAGGAGCGGAGCGCCAGATCGCGCGCGATGCTGGACCGCGTCGAGAAGCACGTGGAGGTGCTCGATGAGGTGCCGAAGCGGGGTGCGAATGACGAGGGCGAGGCGGCGCTGGCGAAGTGGATCGACCATGTCAGCGCTGGCCAGAACGTGCTGAGCGAGGAGAGCCGTGCGCGGTTCGACGCGCTGGCGAGCAGTCGCGCGTGGCGGCGGCGCTCGTCGCAGGAGCGCGTCCTCGAGGTGCAGGCGTTCGCGGAGAAGCACGGGCGCGCGCCGCAGCGCTTCTCTCCGGACGAGCACCCGCGCGAACGGTGGCTGGTGAGGTGGTTTGGCAATGTGCGCGATCGCAGTTTCCATGGCTTGGGGGGCCGCTGGCGCTCGGAGATGGAGGTCGCGCAAGACTTTGAGCACCCTCGGTGACGGCGCTGGAGGCATGGTGCGAGGATTGCCAGAGGTGGCCGCGCGAGCAGGCCGAGGACGACGTGGGTCGCAGACTGGTCAACTTCGTGCCGGATCGCGAGCGGCGCGTGCGCCCGTCCATGTTGAACGTGCAGGATACCTTCGAGCAGTTGCGGGAGAGATTCGCGCAGGGCGCCGCCGCTCGTCGCGACGCTCGCGACATGGGCGAGCAAGCGCGGCGGCTGGAGGAGCAGCGCCAGGAGCAGCTTCAAAGCGCAGCTGCCGAAGAGGAGGCGGGGGGCGAGTCTACGGCGGCGCGGGAGGTCGGTGATTCTGAAGAAGGAGGACGCGGAGACTGGCGGGCGACTGCGTTGCCGAGGAGCGACGCGCCGAGGTCTTGGCCTGAGCAGGGGTGGCTTTACTTTAGTAAACGTCCCTTGGAAATGCTGAAGGCCTCGGAGCTCTTGGCGCTTGGTGTTCTTCGGGAGACTGCTCCTCACAGGCCTGATACGGAGGAGGTGAGGGACGAGACTGAGGAGTAGACCGGGAAGGATAATGATAAGGTTGCGAGACGTCGTGCTTTTATTTACCGTAATGTCCCGCATCGGGGAACTTTTGAGAATTGCTCGCTGGGTGTCGGGATTGTGCTTTACTGCGAAAACGGGGTTAGTTCGTGTGATTTCCGACATGCAAAACACGTTTTTGAGATTAGTTGAAAGTGCCCCTTCTGCGCACCCCTCAATTTGGTCGTAACATGATTAAATGGACCTATCGGGAGGAACTCTCTGAGGCTGATCAGATGACTCATCAAGGAAATTGCAGGTTTTGGTTTGATACAGCATATCTCTATTACTTACGTGATCTTGTCGTGGTTCTTTCGACGGGGGTCGTTCTGAACACTGTGTAGGTGCGGGCTGGGTTATTGACGTGAGTGTCCCCTGTTCTAGCTTGCCTCCCTCCTTTCGCGTTTATCCGTATATTTCTGACGGGTGGCGCCGTGTTGCTTGCCAGTCCTTCCTCCTCCCCTTCCGCGCCGCGACCTCTGGTGCCGAGCTTCCAACTTGCCATACGCTCGTCGTAGTGGGAGTACATGGGGTCCTACTTAGAGCAGGCCGTCTGTTTGCATAGGCTCTTGCGTTTGGGCGTAGAGCACCGCTCTGCGGGGGCGCCTCGCAAACGCAAGAACCTTTATTTGACGGTTTACCGCCGGCGCCTAGTAGGGGAATTTGGGCGCGGGCTGGAGGTAGTTGGTCGCCCCAGCAAGCAGAAACAATGTGACGACTTGGAGTCGATTTTTGGGTCCTTGTGAGAGTTGACGATTCGTTTTAAGAATGAGTCTTTGTGACCTGTAATGAGTTGCGACGCATTTTTCTGTTTCGATTTCGCTGAAAAGCGTAGGGGGACCGACGTCGTATTGACAGCATGTTGGGTGCATGTTTGATTCGCGGTCTTGATCTCGAGCGGGGGCACGCATGCCTACACGAACGCTCTCCCTGGGAGGCTGCGAACAGCGCAACGGCCGCCGCTGTCGCGGGCTCGTGGAAGGTCTGGCGGGGTCGGGGACCACGCGCGCCCAGACGGGGACCCGGGTGGCTGCGAGCTGGACTGTTGTTGCCACTTTCGCGGGCTCCTGGGAGGTCCAGCGGAGTGGGGGGCCGCGCGCGCCCATGTCAGACCTCGCTGCTTCGAGGCATGCTGCGGACTGAGCTATTGTTACCACTTTCGTGGGCTCTTGGGAGGTCCAGCAGAGTCGGGGGCAAATCGGATCCAGCCGAGACTTCGCGGTTCACTGGGGGGCTGCGAAGTGCGCCTCTATCGCGTGCTTTCGAGGAGGCGCAGCGGAGGTGAGGTGAGTTCAGATCGTGCATATATGGCGACGTGTTCTTTTGTATGGAGCGTTCATGCAAATATTCGCGTCGCGTGGAGATTTGCCATTGTGCGTCCGGGGTCTTTTCAGTAAAGGGTTCCTGTGTCAGGTGCCCTGGCTCAGGGCTCCACGACAATATTACTAAGGATTTATCAGTCAGGGTTCCCTGGGAAGACTTCGGTCATAATGTGTCCCCGTGCTGGATGTTTATGAGGAGCTCCTACTAAGGAGCCTGCACTAGGAGTCCTTAGCAACGGAGGCGCAGCGCGGGACTTTTTTTTGAGGAGTATTTATTGTATAGTCTTGGCCGCTCACCCTTGCTTCACGACTTGGCAGCGAGGAGTCCTTGTCGAGGAATCCCTTCTTGAAAACTCCGCACTGAGGAATCCTTACCCATGAACCTCTACTAAGGAAGGTTTACAGCGGATTCCTTGTTAATGAGCCCTTTGCAAATGAATCATGACAGAGTAGTCCTTATTCGCAAATCCTGGCCCAGGAATAGGATGAATTCGCCATGAAATTTCCTTGCCAAGGATCCCCTGGTAAGGGGCCCCCATCGAATGAATCCTTTCTTAGGTATCCGGAATGGTGAAACCCTTCATTAACTCATCTGCATCCAGGGATATTCATTACGAAACTCTTACGAAGGTGGCACTGCTGAGGAAACCTTATTCAGTAATCCTTTCCGAAGAATCTTGCCGTGGCCCCCTTATTGAAGGGTCACATAATGTGGAATTGCTAATGTGGACTCCTTGTTAAGGATCCCTGGCTAAGGAGTCTTTGCCCGCGAACTCTTTACCAAGGAACCCTTACAGGCTATACTTATAGGGAATATTCGCTGAGGATGTCTTATTCTAGACATTCTCATTAAGGAACTCGTATTAAGGAATATTCCGAGTGTGCCCTTACAATGCGTATCGAATGGACCCCTGGGTATACCATCGTTTCCTTATGTTTCGTATGGTATTCCTTGGGGGATGGAGTATTGCTCAGGTTTCATACGGCGTTCCTTCGGTTTTCTATGGTTCCCCTTACGTTTCACATCTTTGTCATTCGGTGTCTTTTGGTTTTCCTGAGGTTCCCGATTGTTCTTGTTAAGGCCGAGTTGGTTGGCCGGGTTCCAGGTGCCAGCAGCTTTTGTTTTCCAAATTGCTTTCTTATAAGAGTCCGAGTCCTAGCTCGAACCATAGAAAACTGGTCCAAGGGTACCACCGTTATGTAGCCCAGAATTATTGCAATAGTTTCCTCTGCTATGCTAGACTGGAGCGGTAGGCTAGACTGGAGCAGTAGACGGTAGAGTAGAGTTTGGTATGGTGAGTACCATGGAGTGGAGGGGAGGCAGAATAGAGCAGAGTAGAGAAGAGTATATGTGTAGAGTGGGACAGACCAAAGTACAGCAGAGTAGAGTAGAAATATATACCGTATATAATAGGGTAGAGTAGGCGTAGCAGCAGAATATAGGATACGTATGAGTAGTAGAAGTATGAGTATGAGTATGATAACGAGTTTCAGTATGAGTACGACGACGAATCTGGATATGGGTATGAACATGAGTTTGAGTATGAATATGATGAGGAGTATGAGTAGGAGTCGGAGGATGAGTAGAAGTAGAGTATAATAGGTTAGGATAGGGCAGAGTACGGCCGAGTATGGCAGTGTAGATTAAAGTAGGGTAGATTGTAGAGTAGTGTCGGGCAGATCATCATTGAGAAGAAAATTGCATAATGGAGTAGAGTAGAGTAGAGTAGAGTAGGGAAGAGTAGAGAATAATGGAGTAGAGGAGGTTCGGGTAGGATAGGGAGGAGAAGGAGGAGGAGGAGGAGGAGAAAGATGAGGAGGAGGAGGGGGAGGGAGGGGGAGGAGGAGGAGGAGGTGAGAGCGGCAGAGGATGATGAGGACTGGAGGAGGAGGAGGGAGGAATGGAGAACAGGAAAATAATGGAGGAACGACCCGGAACTGGAAAGGGAACGGGTCTTTTCCAAACCCTTTGAACACCGAAACCGCCCCACGACCCATCCAGTCTGGAGCTGGTTCGGCACGGGTCCGGATTGGCTGCCAGTCGGGTGGGGGAGGGGTGTATATAAATAGGGAGCAGTGATCAACCCCTCCCCGAAGGATAATGTGTCTTGGAAGAGACAAACCAATACGGTGAGGCGGCCTACGCCCATGGGGGCTGATGGGACTTAGCAGCTGCAGGTTCTGACAGGTTTTATTATGGCAGACGATTGACCCTTCTTGCGGTGCTCGCCAGTGTTGACAAGTACTTGACGGTCCTGACGTGCTCTTTTAAAGAGGAGCCTGAAGTGACGACTAGTTGCTTCTCATCAATCTTCACAATTATGTCGCGAGCGTCGGGCTACTCTTTTACGCAATCTGCGCAACTCTTCGGTTGTACATGTAATGTATCGGCAGGCTGTTTTCATTTTGCAGAGGCTTCTGCGGGCGTTTTGCTGGACATGTGAGCCTCATGTTCGCGGCTTGATGGCATGGGGCCGCCAGTACATCAGGAACTACTGCGGCGCGTCGCTTCTTGGATCGTACGGTGCTTGCGATCTTATTGTTTTTTCATCTGCTCGGTGGAGGTTGTGATGCAAGGATATTCATCCACAGTTTGTCAATGTGCGACGTGGTGCGTGATCATGCCATGAGTGCTCGAGTAACTTGTTCGTTTTTCGATGCGCGCGAGTGCTGTCATAGACGTTGTTAACGACGCACTGCAACTTTTGGGAAGCTGGTGCCGTGCCGGTGTTGGCAAGGCGTTCAGTTGTTTTCCTTCCATGCGTATTGTGACTGTGGGCGTGATCTCTTCGATCTTCCTGCTCTGTGGTCGTTTCCGCTGTGATTTCTAAAATCCAGTGTGAGCGTTGCAGTCGTTGCTTTTACATTTTATTCAGGCGGAGAGCCGGGCATATTAAGGCAGGTCGATGGGATGGTTATTCGGCCAGCACGCATTTTTTTGGACGTGGCTAGCAAATGCCAGTTGGCTGGAAAGGTTTTGGCTGACTGGAAACATCCACGACATTTAACGCTATGTGTCTCAATCGTTCTACGTCGTCCACTCCACTGCGCCATCCTTGGCCGTTGCTGGGAGGTGGCGGCTGTCGTCGCTGCAGCGCCGGCCACCAGCGTTGCCAGGCGGCGCAGAGCTGCGGCTGGAGGCAAGCGACGACCCCGTGTGGCAGGACTCGGGTCATATTCTCATAACGTGTAGCACTCCTACATTCTTTTTCCAACCCTCCTTGGTTGGGTATTCGTTTTGAATAGAGCACTGCGGTCTCCAGTCCTCCTCCTCCTTCTCCTCCTCCCGCCTCCCGTCTCCCGTCTCCCGCTCCCCTCTTGTATCCTCTTGCCATGCGCGAACCTGACCATCCCTGGGGGGCTGCGATCTGTGACACTGTCGCCACTTTCGAGGGCTGCTGGTGGGTCTTGCGGAGTAAGGCACCGCGGGGATCTGAGCGGGACCTCGCCGTCACTGGGGGGCTGCGATCTGCGACACTGTCGCCACTTTCGAGGGCTGCTGGTGGGCCCTGCGGAGTGAGGCACCGCGGGGATCTGAGCGGGACCTCGCCGTCCCTGGGGGGCTGCGATCTGCGACATTGTCGCCACTGTCGAGGGCTGCTGGTGGGCCCTGCGGAGTGAGGCACCGCGGGGATCTGAACGGGTCCTCGCCGTCCCTGGGGGGCTGCGTTCTGCGACACTGTCGCCACTTTCGAGGGCTGCTGGTGGGTCCTGCGGAGTGAGGCACGGGGATCTGAGCGGGACCTCGCCGTCCCTGGGGGCTGCGATCTGCGACATTGTCGCCACTGTCGAGGGCTGCTGGTGGGTCCTGCGGAGTGAGGCACTGCGGGGATCTGAGCGGGACCTCGCCGTCCCTGGGGGGCTGCGATCTGCGACATTCTCGCCACTTTCGAGGGCTGCTGGTGGGTCCTGCGGAGTGAGGCACCGCGGGGATCTGAGCGGGACCTCGCCGTCACTGGGGGGCTGCGATCTGCGACACGGTACCCATTTTCGAGGGCTGCTGGTGGGTCCTGCGGGGTCAGGCACCGCGGGGATCTGAGCGGGACCTCGCCGTCCGTGGGGGGCTGCGATCTGCGACACTGTCGCCACTTTCGAGGGCTGCTGGTGGGTCCTGTGGAGTGAGGCACCGCGGGGATCTGAGCGGGACCTCGCCGTCCGTGGGGGGCTGCGATCTGCGACACTGTCGCCACTGTCGAGGGCTGCTGGTGGGTCCTGCGGGTAAGGCACCGCGGGGATCTGAGCGGACCTCGCCGTCCCTGGGGGGCTGCGATCTGCGACACTGTCGCCACTTTCGAGGGCTGCTGGTGGGTCCTGCGGAGTGAGGCACCGCGGGGATCTGAGCGGGACCTCGCCGTCCCTGGGGGCTGCGATCTGCGACACTGTCGCCACTTTCGAGGGTTGCTGGTGGGCCCTGCCGAGTGAGGCACCGCGGGGATCTGAGCGGGACCTCGCCGTCCGTGGGGGGCTGCGATCTGCGACACTGTCGCCACTGTCGAGGGCTGCTGGTGGGTCCTGCGGAGTAAGGCACCGCGGGGATCTGAGCGGGACCTCGCCGTCCCTGGGGGGCTGCGACCTGCGACACTGTCGCCACTTTCGAGGGCTGCTGGTGGGTTTTGCGGAGTGAGGCACCGCGGGGATCTATGCGGGACCTCGACGTCTGTGGTGGGCTGCGATCTGCGATGCTGTCGCCACTTTCGAGGGCTGCTGGTGGGTCCTGCGGAGTGAGGCACCGCGGGGATCTGAACGGGTTCTCGCCGTCCCTTGGGGGGCTGCGATTTGCGACACTGTCGCCACTTTCGAGGGCTGCTGGTGGGTCCTGCGGAGTGAGGCACCGCGGAGATCTGAACGGCACCTCGCCGTCCCTGGAGGGCTGCGATCTGCGACACCGGCGCCACTGTCGAGGGCTGCTGGTGGGTCCTGCGGAGTGAGGCACTGCGGGGATTTGAGCGGGACCTCGCCGTCCCTTGGGGGGCCCTGGAGAGCTGCTGTGGGATACGTTAGGCGCAACGGGCGCATGGCACAGCCAACGGGGGTGATTTGTGAAACAGTCCATCTGGCGGCTCTCAAGAGCTGCTGTGGGATACGTTGGGTGCAACGGGCGCATGGCACAGCCAACGGGGTTGATCGATTTGTTATTACGTAGCCCTTAGATCTTGATCGGGGGCCTGCGAGCCTTCCGATTGCTGCTCGCAAAATCAAATGCGTCCATGTTCATCGCCCACGTTGTAGCACTCCTGATGTACTGATACCCCGCATTGCGCAAGGGTTGGGTACGTCGCCAGGGTAATTTGAAGGCGACTTGCAATCTTACGCGCGCCCCCATTACCGCTGTTGAACATGTTATTTGTATGTTTGTTATTGGTCTTGTGAAGCCTGGACTTGTCGGAGCTGGTTGTTTTTAGAACTTCAACACCCGCTCGGGCATCTGAAATGAGTGAATCTCGATATCAGCAGAGTCAGCAGAGTTTTTTCTGTTGGTTCGCGCACCGCCGAACCCGTATCTGTCAATGATTGACGGATCTAATATTCAAGGACCGGGAAGGTTTGTTGATTAATCCTGGGGGTAATTTGCCGCCCCCAGCCTGCAGCTTCAGAGTTATGTAGCAGATGGGTTCGAGATTGAGGGGTGGGCCACTGGAGGTTGTCATATGAACACCCACCAGGCTGTGATCGTACAATTGTGTGGTGTATCGCCGTAAGTCTGGCGCCCGTATACAAATCCATAAATTCTTCATTCCCAAGAGCTTTCCAGGCGTACCCTTCAGGCTGGCTTCCGCTTGGCTTGCTTAAGCTTCCTTATCGCCTGATCTGGCTGGAGTAGCCTAGTAGCCAGATCTGACTTGCTCAGGGTGCCTTATGTTGACCAGACTGCTCAGGCTAGCCTGGCTGGCATCGATTTAATGAACAATCTTGTTGATATTAGGCCGCGGTTCAGGTAGCTTTACCTGGCTGCATAAGCTTGGCTCTCCCAGTTTAGCAGCAGCCTGGATTCATTCCCAACCCTTTCTTTGGTTGGGCCCTCGTTCCGAAGAAGCACAGCTGGTCTTCATCCTTCTCCTCCTCTTCCTCCTCCTCCTCCTCCCTTCTCCATGCCTCTCCCCTCTCCCTCCCAAGCTCTCTGTGGGTGCTGCCGACCGCGCAACAGTCGCCACATTTGCGGGCTCCTGGGAGGCCCAACGCAGTGGCGTTATTCGCATGTCCATGCTAGACCTTGCGGCCCCCTGGGGTTGTTGGCGCCTGCGCAACTGTCACCATCGTCGCGGGCTCCTGGGAAGCCTGGCGAAGTGGTGTCATGCGCACGTCCAGAGAGTAGACCTCGCGGCTTCCTTTTGGGTGTCGGCACCTGCGTAACTGTCGCCACTTCTGTGGGCTCTTAGGATGTGGTGTCGTACTCGCATCCATGCTGTGCCTCGCGGCTTCCCGGGGGTGCTGCTGCCTGCGCAGGTGTTGTCGCTTCTGTGTGCTCGTGGGAGGCCAAGCGTAGTGGTGTCCCACGCGCGCTCAGACTAGGCCTCGCTGCTCCCTTGGGGTGCTGCCACCTGCGTATCTGTGGCCACTGTCGTGGGTTCCTGAGAGGCCCAGTGCAGTGATGTCGGCATCTTGGGCCATCTTGGTGTGTTTGGTGGCCTGCACGGGTCGTGTTGGAAGTTCGGGACGCAGATCCATCGTTTTGAACAGAAGATCGTGGCTTGGGAGGTCCTGGAGCGTTTGGGATCAGCGCCTGGGAATGCGGGATGTGCATGATCCTCGAGCGGGTGCGCGTGGGATGAAGGGTTTAGGGGGTAACAGCCGTGCGGGAAGTGCGCAGTCCTCGAGCGGGCGCGCATGAAATGAGTGAGGCATTAGCTGCTATGCGGGAAGTGCACCATCCTCGAGCAGGCACACATGGAATGAGGGTTCGGGTCTTACCTGTCATGCGGGAAGTGCACCACCCTCGAGAGGGCACGCTTGGAAGGGGGTTCAAACACTAGCTGTCGTGCGGGGCGTGCACCATCCTCGAGCGGGCACGCGTGGAGGGGACGTGATGACATTAGCTGCCATGCGGAAAGTGCACCATCCTCGACTAATTAGGCATGTGTGGAAGGGGCTCTCAGGCATTAGCTGCCATGCGAGATGTGCACCATTCGCGGCGGAAAATCCGTATCATCTCAAAATCTGGCTTTTTGAACGGATTTAGGGTTTATTTTAGATTTCTGTTCGCGTTTCTTCTGTAGTGTATTGTGTTGGATAAGCAAGGAGATGCGCGTGTCTGGTTATGCGTCACAGTTTGGGAGGAATTGCTGGGGATGTCGGGTTTGCCCGTGTCTTCAGGTGTTCATGCTGCTCTCGTTCTCTCGTTCGATTCAGTTTTTCCGTGTGAGATTTGTTTAGATCTGATTTGTGTTGTTTAGGCCGCAAAGAAACAACCTCCTCATCTCCTCCCCCCGTTTCTCTGCGAATTCCCCACTGTTCCCCCATCGCCGCGCCGCCTGGGCTCCACGCGCGCGAAACCCCAACGGGAAAGCGAACGCACCCAACGCCATTCGGAAGAGGGCAATACGCACATAGCAGCGTCCCCGTCGAGATTAGTCAGCTGACTACAACCCCCTGGATTAAATGTCCGGACCGCAGAGGTCGGAGAAGAAACTTTGATGTTCGGTTCCCGTTAGGCCACGGGGCCCTGGCACAGTTGCAAAAGCCGCAGCGGCACAAATTTTGGTGCATCCCACTCCCTTTAATTTTCTAATTTTGTAATCGCCAAATGGGGTGACGACCGGAAGCTTTCATTCCGCCCAAGACTTCCACCAAACAAATTGCCGGTTGCTTGTCAGACGACCGGAATTTTTCAGAGGTCAACGGGTATTGTCGATTCCGCTCAGGACTTCTTCACCCCCAAACAATCTGGTCCCATCTATGTTGTCTGAAAGTTGCGTTTCTACTTGGGACTTCCTGCAAATCATGTTTGTCTCTGTCGGCGTGGGCGATTCCAAACAGAGCTTGTTGCTCCCAGTGCTCGGCGCCTCGCTGTGCCTTTCCGTTGTTCGGCGCGCGGGCCTGTCGCAGGTCATCTCGGAGGCCATGTTCCAGAATCGAAGGCCCAGGAGCAATTCAGGGTCGAAGTTTCCGGCCCCATTTAATAGCGACGATGCAAAGGGGCCTGCAGTGCCGATCAGAACTTTTTAATCCAGGGGGTGGTCATCTGCGCCAACACCTCAATCATTTCCCGCGCAGAGTGCATCTCATCGCTTTGGTCTTGGAGCGCTGCCCCGAAGATGGGGCGGAGCATTCCTCTTCCAGGACGAACGCAGACGTCGGACATCTTAATTCGGTACTTAATGGAGCGACCCATCAGCGCGTAAGCGCAAGCCATTTGGATGCAGAGTTTTTCCTTCTGTCGGTGCCGCTCGCGATGAAGTGCTAGAGGACCTTGAGTACTTTCCTCGGGCCGTCAAGAGAATCTGCAAAGCTCTTTCCTGAGTCTTCTTCCTTCCCTTCACTTGTCACCTTCCCTGCTTCGCCGCCCCACTTGGGCTCCGCTATTATTTCCCCCCCCCCTCCGACGCCCGAGGGCCAAAGATGCCACAGCCTTTGCCGTCGCAGCGGTCTTTGCCTCAGGCTTCGCCGCGGGGGCGGCGCTCTTGTTTTTCGGCGCCGCCGCTGGAAGCGCAAGGCAGCGGCCGCCGAGGAAACAAACAGAACAGTCGAGTCGAAAGAGGAAAAGGGTATTGCTCATCGTCGCAAACCCAGCTCATCTAGGATCCGTGGGCAAGGGGCGTCGACAAAAAAGGTTGGGCTGCGTCAGCGCGCATGAGGGTGCGCTAAGCGGCGCGCCAAGCGGCACGCTGACCAGTCTGGTAAACGGCGCGTGAAATTGCGCGCTCAACGGCGCGCGACATGGCGCGTTCAACGGCGCGCTAAGTGACGAGCTGAGCGGAGCGCTAACGTTTGCGCTTAAACGCAACCATGAACCCGCCGTGCCACTCGGCGGGCGCCCGGAAGACGCCCCGCGCTCAGTTGCGGGCTAAGCGCGCCTTTACATTTACAGGGTGACTCAACATGTGAGTCGAGCGGCGCATTTTACCCGCAATCTAGCGCGGTTGCCACCCTGGCCTTCCGCATCGGCCTCGCGCCAGGCTGTCGAAACCCGTGATGCAAGACTGTCGAGGGCCCAGCTCAGCCGAAGGAAAGCTCGGCGCCGACCCCGGCATAGCTGGGGTCGAAGCGCGGCAGGCCGCACAAGCCCATCACAGCCCAGGCGCAAGCTCGCGACCCACGGTCATGCAAAAGGGCGCGCTAAAAGGCGCGCTAAATGGCGCGCTGAAAGGCGCGCTAAGCGGCGTGTTGAAGTGCGCGCTAAATGGTGCGTTAACGGCGTGTTAAACGGCGCGCTGAACGGCGCGCTAGGCGGCTCGCTGAACACTCTGCTAAGCAGCGCGCTGAACTGCGCATTGAATGGCGCGCCTGTCAGGGCGCCAACTCGGGACCGCCCGAGTAATCCATGGACACGCCGCGCTGCGCAGCGCGTGTCCATGAATTGGCGGTCCCTCGTAGATAGTTACCTGTTCGCCACTGCCAGGCTTTGGCAAGCATTCGGTGCCCTCCAGAGGGACATTGGGCAAGCCCGTTGCAAACCCTCTTCAGATCCCGACGGACAACGAGCGTCCCGGGGAAATCCTACACCTGAGGCAAACCCGAGGCAACATGAAAAACGCATTCGGCGCCCCCCCCCCACCAAGAGTGACCCGTGCAGACCCCAAGCAGGCAACGAGTATGTCCTGGCAGGCCCACGGAAACCCTGGACAAGTTTTTCCGAGACTCCAGGTACGCCCGCGAGAAATGCGAGGCGGAGTCTTTCGCCGACATGGGCGAAATCGTTTTTTGCGCCCGCTATTTGCATGTGCCCCCGAGCAACAGTTTTAAGCTCGTGTGGCAAAGCGTGAGGACATCTGACCTCTGCGTCGCAGTGTCTCCGTGGCGCGTTGCATCTCGCGGCGGGTGCGTTTGCGAGGTTTGGGGGGGAAAAGGGGGAGCATGATTAGGAGGATAATGGGGAAGGAAGGGGCGCGGAGGAGGAGCGGGGTGGGGGTGGGGGACGGGGAAGGGAGGACATGTCTTCTGCTTTTACTTTTGCTTGCGATCGGCCTGTCCCCGTCGCTTTGCAGTTTTTTCGCATTTCCCGTGGCGCTCAACCCCCCTCTTCTCGCCGCCTGCCGCCCGCAGCCCCCCAATTTCAGTTTTTCCTTGCGTGCGGTGCCTCTTCCCTCGCCCGTCGCCTGCCTCCTTGCTTCTCCGTCTGGTGAAATATTTTCCGTCGCCCGGAGCCATCGCGTGGCCCGCGGGACCATTGGTTTTTTCCTGCTTGAAAACAAAATCCGCCACTGCATTGATTGGCCGTTCCCGCCGTGCGCACTATCCTCGAACGGGCGCGCGTGGAATGGGGACTTAGGCATTAGCTGCCATGCTGGAAGCGCACCATCTTCGAACGCGCGCGAGGGAAGTGGCTTCGGTGAGCAGGGGGGAAGCGCGTGGGAGTCCACGAGTAGAGGGAGGGGCGGGCCTGTTGTAGAACTCAAAAACCTTCCAGACAGACGCTGGCACTCTTCCACGCCTCAACGTGCCAGGGGGCACGGTGGCGGATAACGGCTCGCCCAGCCAGGTTGTGGTAAGCTGAGCCAGCTTCATATTTAGAGTGTCGTAGTTCGGCTTGTCTGGGACCCCCCCACAAGCTGGTAGCTTCTTGTGCTCTCTGTATCGGGGTTGGCAGAGACTCTCCCGAATAATCGGCCTCTTGGTGAGAATCTCGTTGTGCAGCGCGTTTGTCGGTTGCGCAAGTGACATCATTATTAGCGATACCAACTTCCTGGGTCCGTCAAGTCGAGTTTTGCATCAGTCCGGCCGCGATCATAGACGCCAAGTTGCTGAGCTGCTGAAGCGAATGCTCGGTGGTGTCAGATTACCGCCATCACCCCAATGAGTAACGTCGCTGAGTTGCTGAAGCTTCTCTTCGTAGTGTGGTGACCCCGCAAAGGGGTCACTCCCGCGACTTACAGCCAGCAATGCGAATGTGCCTCGTGGTCCGTCTTCGTCTTCGACGGACGGTCCACCTGTTGCTATTCTACATGCTGCACTCCGTCCGCGGTACCTGAGGTCACCTGCGCGCCCCTCACCCGCCGACTCTCGGCGGTCGGGCTTGTTCCTCCTTCTTCGGCGGCTTTTCTCTTCTTTCCCACCCGTTCCGCGCGCTTCGCGCTCGGCGCGCTTCGCTGGACCCCCCCCCCGCGATCGCGACCGGTGGCGCCTCCGATAGCTTCCTAATTCTCCTGTGTTGGGTTCTCCTTAGATCACTGTGGTCCCCACCTCTTCTCCTCGGGCCTCCCTTGTCCTCCCTGCCTCCTCCTTCGCTGTTCCCTGGGTGACTGCGAACTGCGCAACAGTCGGGGCCACTGGGAGGTCCAGCGGAATGTGTTGCCACGCGGACCCAGCCGAGACCTCGCTGCTCCTTGGGTTGTTGCGAACTGCGCAACAGTCGCCAATCTTGCAGTCTCCTGGCTGGTCCAGCGGAGCTGGGGGGCACGCGGATCCATTGGGGACATTGCTGTTCTTTGGTTGCTGTGAAGTGCGCAAAAGTCATCGCTTCCGTGGGCTCCTGGGCGGTGCAGCGGGGTCGAGGGGCATGCGCACCAAGACGGTACTTCGCTGCTTTTTGGGTTGCCGCGAATTTCGCAACCGTCGCCACTTTCGTGGGCTCCTGGGAGGGCCAGCAGAGTGGAGGCACACGCTGACCTAGCCGAGACCCCGTGGCTCCGTGGGAGCCCGCAAAGTGCGACCGTCGCCAAATTGAGTGGGCTCGTCGGAGTTCCAGCGGAGTTGGAGAGGCCACGCGCACCCAGACGGGGCTTCGCTGCTCCCTGGGAGGCTGCGCGCTGCGCAAATGTCGCCACCTTCGTGGGCTCGTGGGAGGTCCAGCGGGCCGAGTCTTCGCGGCTCCCTTGGAGGTTACGGAACGCACTGTTGTCGCTACTGTCGCGGGCTCCTGGGAGGTCCAGAGGGGTCGGGGGGCACGTGGACCCAGACGGGAACCTCGCTGCTCGCTGGGTAGCCGCGAATTGCGCAACCGTCGCCACTTCCGAGGGCTCCTGGGCGGTCCAGCGGAGTGGGGCTCCGAGGATCTAGCGGAGCCTTCGCTGCTCCCTCGGAGGCTACGAAGTGCGCAATTATCGCCACATTCGTGGGTTCCTGGGAGGCACGGCGGTGATGAGGGCACCGCTTGTTTGTTTTGCTTTGTTGTTTTGTGTCTTGATTGTCACGCAATTGGAACAAAAAACGCGAGGATGTCAGGGCAGGGAGTGACGGGGGGGTTTCTGGCCTCTCTGGCGATCAGGGGGCGCTGGGGCTGGCCGTGTGGCCCGCGGCGCCTCCGCTGTGCCGCCACCTGCTGCGGCGCTCCGGCGGCTGCATGGCCGGCGAGCGTGTGCTCGAGCTCGGGTCCATGGGAATGTCGATCGCAAGCAGCAGGTCGGGCGACGAACTCGAGCATGTCCACTGCCCCTGGCCCAGGGGCAGTGGATACGTATAGATCTCGCTGTTCTGATACTCACAAGGCGCTGAAATAAGGAACCGTTCGGGTTCGGAACACGGCTAGCAGTTTCATGGGTGCTCCCATGGTTGTGTTTCTAGTATGTCTCGTGCTCCCGACTCAACGTTTTTGGTGGTTGACGCTTAACTTGACGCATTGTATTTCCACGCTGCGTGCATCCCGTCGGGTCTTTCTGCGCTGCGAGCAGCACGGTCAATCGTAGAGATTGGGGCGTCCCTGGGTGGCAGTTCCGAGGAGGAGGAGGAGGAGGAGGAGGAGAGAGGAGGAGGAGGGAGGGAGGGAGGGAAGGAGGGACGGCAGGAGGCTGGGAGGGCGGGAGGGCGGGAGGGCGGGAGGGTGGGGGGCGGAGGGCGGGAGGGATGGGAGGAGGGAGGGCGGGATGGAGGGAGGGGGGGAGGGAGGGAGGGCGGGAGGGAGGGAGGGAGGGAGGGAAGAGGAGGAGAAGGAGGAGGAGGAGGAGGACGAGGACGAGGAGGACGAGGAGGAAGAGGAGGACGAGGTGGAGAAGAGGAGGAGGAGGAGGAGGAGGAGGAGGAGGAGGAGGAGGAGGAGGAGCAGCAGGAGCAGGATCAGGAGCAGGAGCAGGAGGAGCAAGAGGAGCAGGAGGACGAGGAGAAGGAGGAGAAGAAGAGGAGGAGGAGAACAAGGAGGAGGAGAAGGAGGAGGAGGAGCAGGAGGAGCAGGAGGAGCAGGAGGAGCAGGAGGAGGAGGACGAGGAGGTGGAGGAGTAGGAGGAGGCGGAGGAGGAGGAAGAGGAGGACGAGGTGGAGGAGGAGGAGGAGGAGGAGGAGGAGGAGGAGGAGGAGGAGGAGGAGGACCACCATCACCACACCCTGCTTCGCTCGGGTCGGCGGCTTTTTCCGGTAACAGGGGTCAAGAGGGCCCCCCATGACCTCGGGACAAATTAGCGAATGATCATGCCACATTCATTTGTCAATGCCCCCCCAACGATAAAAGCTTGCGGTTGGGTGACTGAGTTGCATTTCGACCGCAGTCTTCCCCGCGCGTGCCAACTTTGAATTTTGGGAAAAGGGGGGAATGTTCACTACGGATAATTATCCTCTACCGCGCAAATGTGGCCTCAGGGGGCTCCCCGGAAGGCGCCCAAGACGGCCGGGCAGGCTGTTTAAGACGGCCCAGGACGCCCCCAAAATGGCGCCATGGTGGCCCAGGGAGGCTTTGAGACGGCTCTGCGCAGGGCCGCCGAGAGGCGACATTGCGTAGCATCCCGCAGTTGCGGATAAGAGTGATGGGGGCGGGCGCGAGGTCGGTCGCGGGTGGGTCGTGGGTGGGTCGCGGCGTGGGTCGCTGGGCGGGTCGCGGGTGGGTCGCTGGGTGGGTCGTGGGTGGGTCGTGGGCGGGTCGCGGGCGAGGACGACAACAACAATCATTTTAAGACTGTTCGCTCTTTGCTGTTCGCGTGCCATTCAATATGTAAATCCCAGACCGTCAATACCCGCCCACTTCGTCCTCGATCTTATCCCCTTGGGGGTATGTCTTTCTTACCTGCTCCGTGTAGTTTGCGCAGCCCCTCAAAACAAGAGAAGGAAAGGGAGGAGGGAATGGACAAAAGGGGAGGGAGACCGGTGGAACACGAGAGAGATTCTCAGGAGGGGGGCTAGGAACAGGAAACCAAGCGGCAGAACCAGACGGGCGGGTCGGGCGTGCGGACCCTGTCGGGCGGGTCGGGCGAGCGATCCCACCTGGGTGGGTCGAGTGGATGGGTCGCCGAAGCGTCAGTCCAGCATGAATCGCGAGGAAGTCTCGAGCGAAAGCGCGGTCCCCAAGTAAATCATAAGGAAGTCCAGAGCGAGAGCGTGATTCCTGAGTGTCGAGGGCGCGGCGTTTCAATAGATTGTCGGGACGTCCCACGCGCGAGCACAATTTCTGCATACACTGTGGGGAAGTCCGAGTTTTGAATAACCTGTGAGGAACTATCAGGCGAGAGCCGTTGAAGTCTCATTCCGTACGTCTCATCTTTGTTGATCCCCACCTCCAGTGCATCCTGTGTTTTGAATTTGAGTACCCCTTCTCAGGGCTCGCACCATGTTGTTTACAAGGGCTAGTCTTGATGCTCAGCATGCGATGTTGGCGCCCCGAAGTACCAAAACAGCAGCTCCCGCCTGGTACACCCTCGCAGTATATTCCAAATCGCGCTGTCGCGTTGGACTTCCTCACGAATTATGCAGGAATCGCGCCCTCGCGTTGGATTTCCTCGCGATTTGTTCGTTCGCCGCGCCCACGACAGTCAGGAATCACGCTCTCGCTTTGAATTTCCTGACGATGTACTCGGGAATCGCCCCGTCGATCGAGACTTCTTCGCCAGTCATGCAGGACTGACCGTCCAGGGGCTGCCCGCTCGCCGGGGCCGTCTGGGTCTGCCCGCCTGGCCCGCCCGCTGAGTTCCGCCCGCCCGACCTGCCCGTATGGTTCTGCCACGTGCTCTCTGTGTCAAACCCCCTCCTGCTGATTTCTCGTGTGCCCCAGCCTTCTCGCTCCCCCCCTCGTCCCTTCCCTCATCCTCCCTCTCCTATCCTTTTTGATGGACTGCGCCATCTACACGTGGCAGGTAAGGAGCATAGACCCCAAAGGGAGGTACGATCGAACACGAAGAGTGCGGGCATCGAGGATTTGGGATATACATGTTGACTGGCACGCGAGCAGATAAGAGCGAACACCTTGAACATGATGGTGGAGTTCTCATTTTGAACCCCCCCGAGTGCTCAATGCGTTTTCCAATTGAAGTGCCCCTCGCGGGGCTCGCATCCGCTTTTTTACTAGGAGAAGTCCCGGGCCGCAGGCTGTGCCCCTTGCCCCCAGTTTACCAGAACAACGGTTCGCGCCTGATATTTCTTCACCATTTATTCAACATCGCGATCTCGGGGGCGGGTTTTTTTTGGACAAATTTTGACGCTTCGTGTATCCCACCCAGCCCATCCAGACACGATCGCCAGGTGAGTTGCCTTGATGAGGGCAGCGAAGAAGCATGCAGTGCGACAGCCGCCTTGGACGCCCTTTGGGGGGTGCGGGGGTGGCCGGCGACATTTCATGTGCGAGTCGTCAAAAGGTAGATTGAACATGTCGACCTAGCGCCGTTCTGGCTCTATGGGGGTCTTCTTGGGGTCCTCTTCGACAAATGTTGACCTGCCACGGTTATGTCATCGGTGAGTGGCTCCTGCATCACCATGCTGCCAATGCTTATCCGAGAAGGTTTAGACAATACATCAGATCATATTGCCCTGAATGATAGAGGAGGAACAGGAGGAGGACGAGGAGGAGGGGGATGAGGAGGGGGAGGGAGAGGGGGAGGAGGAGATTGCATGCGCTGGACGTGCCACTCGTTGCCAATGGTTTCCCGTAGAAGGTCTATAATCATATTTCCCCGAATGCGCGATGAGGAACAGGAGGATGAGGATGAGGATGAGGGTGACGATGCTGATGATTTTGATGATGATGATGATGATGATGGTGGTGGTGGTGATGATGATGCTGATAATGAAGGAGATGCTGATGATGATTACGATGACGCATGTGATGACCATGATGATGCTGATGCTGATTATGATGACGATTATGCTGATGTTGGCGATGATGATACTGATGAGGATGCTGATGATGCTGATGCTGAGTATGATGCTGCTGCTGCTGATGATAATGATGATGATGATGATGATGATGATGATGATGATGATGATGATGAGGATGAGGATGAGGACGAGGATGAGGATGAGGATGATGATGATGATGATGATGATGATGATGATGATGATGACGATGATGATGATGATGATGATGATGATGATGATGATGATGATGATGATGATGATGATGATGATGATGATGATGCTGATGATGATGATGATGATGATGATGATGATGATGATGATGATGATGATGATGATGATGATGATGATGATGATGATGGATGATGATGATGATGATGATGATTGATGATGATGATGATGATGATGATGATGATGATGATGATGATGATGCTTATGATGATGATGATGATGATGATGATGCTGATGATGATGATGATGATGATGATGATGATGATGATGATGATGATGATGATGATGATGATGATGATGATGATGATGATGATGATGATGATGATGATGATGATGCTGGTGATGGTGATGGTGATGGTGATGGTGATGGTGATGGTGATGGTGATGGTGATGGTGATGGTGATGGTGATGGTGATGGTGATGGCGATGGTGATGATGATGGTGATTCGGAGGCGGAGGAGGAGGAGCAGGAGGAAGAGGAGGAGGTGGAGGAGGAGGATGCGGAGGAGGAGGAGGAGGAGGAGGAGGAGGAGGAGGAGGAGGAGGAGGAAGCCACGGGCTGAGGAGGGGCCCGCCGCCGCGTGGGGTCGTGTCGTCCCCTCGTTCGGCCAGCCCCGTCAGCCCGGGCCAGCGCGCCGCGGCGCCATTAAAAAAGCAAAGCTGAAGAGAAGCGCCGCGGCCGCGACGCCTAGGCTAAAGAAAGACGCCCAGGCAGAAGGAAGAAAGTTGGCACAGGAGGGCCCGCATAGCGCGAGGCCACGCCAGGACACTCTTGAAGGTAGTCGAGGCCTCCAGACTACTTGCAGATCATCACTCAGCACAGCCCTTCGACAACATGGCGAAGAGTTGGAAGCAGCAGCAGCAGCGCGGCGCCTCGAGGGAAAGGTGGTCAGGAGCAGGGACCACACACCTCGAGGCGTCTCAGCGCGGCCCTGGGAAAAGGTGGACAGGAGCAGGGTCCACAGCCCAGGCGCAGCGCCAGCGCAGCGCAGACTGGACTGGCGACTACGGAGCCATTGGTGGGCGGCCCTGGGAGTGGCAGCAGCATAGTCAGCAGCAGCAGCAGCAGCCACAGACCCACAAGCGCCACCAGC